TAGGCTTGCTTGACAGGTGGCGAATGCGTCGTGTTTAGCGGCACATCTTCACGATGTGACGTCACTAGGTAATATGACGCCACTAGGTATTCTACAGTGGATCCCCATTATATTTATTAACAACCAGAGCCGACTGCCGGTGGCTGCTCTGTACTCCCGCCGCCGCCGCCGCCGCCGCCACTCTGTCTCCCGCCAAATAGCAGGAAAGCGCGGGAACCAAAAGCGCGCCAAATCGGCGCGCCGCGTGCTAGCTCTTCGCTCGCTAGGTGCAGCTGCACTTGGCGCCGGCTGCGCGCCGCGTAGCAACTCGTTGCTCGGCCGGTACAGATGCACTTAACAAAGCAATGAATTGAGGACAGAGCTGTTAGCTGTTGGAGCCTGGTGGCAATGGCATTACCGAAAGGTTAGGAGGTCGATGGCATTTGATTGATAACTTTACTAGAAGTTATTCGTTGAGGCTGCAGGCAGGGGCGTCGCCACGGATTTTTGACTGGGGGGGGGGGGGACGATCGACAGAGGTGAAATCTAAAAAACATAAACACTGCTCTCCGCTTTCTTTTCAAAATCGCTGCATCATATGTTAAACCCGCTCCTGACTTTTCATAACGTGACTGCCTGAGGGGACAGGGGGGGGGGGGTACATTGGGCTAGGAGAATAGGTACATAGGCAGACTTGTGATCAGCTCAGTTGAGCCGGCTCAAAAATCAGCTCAGCTCATGAGCCGGCTCAACATTTTGCCAAATTGTTGAGCTGTGAGCTGAGCCGGCTCAGTAATGCATTGAGCTGAGCTGCTGTCTGAGCTGAGCTGAATGAGCTTGAGCTGAGCTGAGCTGAATGAGCTTGAGCTGAGCTGAGCTGAGCTGAGCTGAGCTGAGCGAGCTGAGCTGAGCTGATTGAGCTGAGCGAGCTGAGCTGAGCTGAGCTGAGCTGAGCTGATTGAGCTGAGCTGAGCTGAGCGAGCTGAGCTGAGCTGAGCTGATTGAGCTGAGCTGATTTAGCTGAGCTGAGCTGATCCAGTTCTAATTCTTTTCAGTTCATGCTTGGAAATTAACTCAGGATTTGATGCTTCAGTTATGAGCTAGCTATGGAGTGAGCAATTACACTGCCTTCGTGATCGCACTTAAAAATATCAAAACTCTAAAGAAATCAATATTAATCACTAATCAAGCTTAATTTATTTCATCCATATTGCATGGAAATTGGAAGACCAGGGTCTTGGCCAATTTACAGGCTAATACAGCCAGTCTCAAGTTTCAAGTCTGACTGCAAGATGAACACCTACTGTCAGGCTTTGATGCTTCGCCTTGACACTGCTCCGCAATGTACAATTCAGCATTCTTCACTTTGTTATTTAAGCAGTTATTTAAATTAATTTTATCAATAAGGGTTCTTACCTCTGCATAAAATATTTACAATTAGGAATTAGCAAATAATGTTCCTCTTCGTTGGTTGAATCAGTCGGGCGCACTATGGTATCGGCAGTCCATTTATGGATACGTATCTATTAAAGGAAACGTTTCCAAATTTGGAAGGCACTTTGTTCCATTTATGGAAACGCCAGTTCCAAAATTAGAAACGCCAATTTTTAAGCAGGCATATTTCTGTATTTCTTAAGTTAATAGTAATCTTTTCAGCTGGCGTGTCTTTTCGTCGATATGTTTTCTCCCAAAACAGTAAAATCCAACAATATTTTTGTACGCAAATGGCGAATCTGATGCCCTGACGCAAACCCTTGTCAACGTTCCATTTTTGGAAACGGAAGGTTCCAAAAATGGAAACTATGAGCCAACACAGGAAAAGGCATAAGCACCATATTATTGATATGTGGGCCTGTCTACCTCACGCCCTCTAAGTAATTGCCGAGCTATTGATGCCGGTACATGTTCCGATATGGGTGATTCCCTTTGCATCTAAATTTCGTATGAATGGTCCTCCAATTGCTTGGGCATAGTGCCCGAAAGCCGATGTTGGTACAATAATGCTTACAAAAATGTGTCTTCTGGGGAAAGTCCCCAATTTCTAGGCACCTACATAAACCCCAGAACTGTCCAACCGTCTTGCCTACTAAGCTGCTACTGCTTACGAAACCCACATTATAACATATTTTAACTGTTGCAAGCAGACATGTGCTTGGATCCGGAAAAATGGATCTGAGATCCGATCCCATGGATCCCGATCCAAGATCCATTCAGATCATAGATCCAACCCCTCAATTTTGTCGAGAGATCTACTGGGATCATAGATCTGACCCTTCAATTTTGTCGCTAGATCCACTCGGATCATAGATCTGGCTTCCCAATTTTGTCGTGAGATCCATTGGGATCATAGCTCATAGGTGCTCAAAATGCTAACAACTTTCTTTCATAAGAAGTTATGATTACCAAAGTATGGTTAGAAACAAACAATCTTATACAAAGGCCATATTAGTAAAGGCATCCAGTTACATTATACAGAATACAAAATAAAGGAGGCTCATGACGGTCACAACTTGAGAGAATTGAGTGACATGAAGATTGTTCACAGTTCACATACCAACAGAAAAGTTTGCATTACCAATTAACATAGAGGTAAGTCAAAGTAATGACTAATGAACAATGCATAACTAGGTACCTACCACATCACAATTCATGTTAGAATCTACATAATGATATTGATAAGACAATCTTGCATTAGACAACCATGAGGCTTTCCAGTTTCCAGCTACCATAATTGATTGATAAACAATAAAAGATGATACTGACACATGTGGCTTGGTTAGGTAAGGGTATTTCAATCTATTGAAAGAAATATTTGATAAAATAAACTGATATAAACAAAAGTATAAAAATATTCAACAGCCTGCGGAAGCGATGGGAAGCGAAATATCAATTGTAATGGCCTTGGATATTTACCGTAAAATGATTATTCAGTATCTAAATCGAACTCGTGACGTCATTTCAAATAACAAATGAGCTAGGCGTTCTACAGAGTATTTATAATGAAAATAAATAAAAAATCAAACTGGAAATTCAAAATTCTGGAGTTTTGTTTTAAAACAATGTTCATTTTTTCTGCCTCACATAATTTTACGATACGAAACGATTGTTTGTGAATATCATCTTTGTAGCGTTGAATTTAATGACGTAAACGTAAGCTGAAACGGTATTATATGGCCTTGAGCGGTGTGCGCCTTGCATCTTTATTTTATTCACTTTTCAAAAGAATAACAATATCTTACGTCATTAGTTTAAAGGGCCTATTACGGGGAATCTTTTGGAATCATTACGGTTTTGGTCAAATTAAGATTTTTCATTGGTCAAACGATAATGACGTAGTAAAACCATATTACCAAAACGTGAGCTGTGAATTTCGTTTGTCTTTTTTTGGGAGGCTCTCTCATAACAAAAGCACAGCATGGCACCACACGTGTGGCACGATTTGGGCACGATGCCAAAAGTAGGTAATCTGAAGAAGTTGATGCCATTTTTGAACTTGTAATTTTATTAGGAAAGTATTAGAGGTTAATTGCTATTCTTACTAAATCGAAATTGTGTTGCACATACTAATAGCTCATACGAACATTCTGGATTCGGATTTCATACTTGGCAGAAGTGGATTGCTGGATTATTTTTAACAAAACTGACCTATTGGCTTCCAGGTTTGATTTCCTAACATCTGTCCATAGGCGGCAGAACAGGGGGGGGTGGCACCAGGGTACAGTGCCCCCCTTAGATTTTGGCATTTTAACATTAGCCCTACTGGCGTTGCATGGAAAGAATGGGACCAAAATGAAAATCTGCAGTGCCCTGCTGCCACTGCATCTGTCTGTACTGTTTGTTCATTGAATTAAAGTGGCTGTAGCTTGTTGATAAGATTGTCATCAGTGCTGTCATGAAAAAGTTACAATTGGTCACAAAAAGTAGCAATATGCATGTTCTTGGTTTATTTTAAATGTAGTACAAATGTTGTTTATTTAAATTCAAAATTAATGATGATACCTAATGATTACAAGTGGTCTTAACTAATAACCATGTCCACAAGTGATAATTCTCAATTGTATTGCACTGTAAGGTGTACAATTATGTAGGATAAGGGTTTCATTGGCTACATGTTGTCGTGAGATCCATACAGATCATAGGTCCTTCACAAATTTTTGCCCGCTGGATCCTCAGAGATCATAGATCCGACCCCTAAATTTTGTCGAGAGATCCATTCAGATCATAGATCCAACCCCTGAATTTTGTCGAGAGATCCACTTGGATCATAGATCCAACCCCTCTATTTTGTCGAGAGATCCACTGAGATCATAGATCCAGCTCTCGGATCCAAGCACATGTCTGGTTGCAAGCATGCATGCGTGACTGCAGTAAGCGTCGCGATGTGCCCTGAATTGTGGTTAACAGACTCTGGCTTCCCAAGAAAAGCAAGGCTTTATAAGTAAGGTTGGAGTTAAACTTTGGCCTAATCAGGCCGGTTCAGAAGCTCCGGTTCGCATTTCATGCTGTCGGAGCGTGCACCTTTTCCAACCTTCTCGTGGATTATTAGAAATGAGAAAGGCAGAAAGTGCTTCTAAAAACATTAAATGCAAATAAGAGTTGAAATACATATAACCTACTGCATCTGTGAGCTGTATGTACAACTTTAGTTAAAATTCGTCATTTGTTCCAAAAATGGAAACTGTGCTTCATAAAGCATAATTCAATGGGCCTTACACAGGCACTAACTGAAGGCCTACTGAACTAATACGGTGCAAAGTGGGCAATTAGTACAGTTTGAGCATTTCCCTATTCATAGAAATTGTTTATAACACCTTGTCATCGCTTTTTCATATAATTGAATCGTTTTAAACTGGACGACAGCTTGGATCAGGATCGCTTCCGACAAGCAGTAACATATCAGACCTTTAATGCAATTATTTACATACATTCTACCAACTTTCACACATTCGTAAGTTAAATGGGTGCTAAGAAGTTCAGTTTGCCCACTTAGAAGCATCTGTACGAAATATTTTCCAACTTACCGCCTTCCAAAGCCGGAGAGACGATCTCCGCACGTGGTCACCAACACGCCATTCAGGGCTTGCTTTACAGCAATGTAGGATATTAGTGAATATTAGACAGCAAGTCTGTCAATTAAAAAATTGCCATTCTTGTGAAAATCAAATTTTTCCACAAAAAAATGAGGTATATTTCATTAATGACACATAAAAGTTCACCTATCATGAAAAAATATATTGTTTACAAAAGGAAGTGGACCGTGCAAGCCTGTTCAACAGCCGATTTTTCTGTTCAACGTTGGAATTATGAAGCGAAATGCGGTCTTTTGATTGGTGGCCTTTGTTTGATGCGGAAATCTATGGTTTGTTGCGGAAACTACCGAACAGGTTTATGTGCTCCTTGCGTTTCCGAAAATAGAAACGGAGCGTTTCCATTATTGGAACAGTTGGTTTTTAGCGTTTCCATTTTTGGAACTTTCTTCCAAAAATAGAAACGTTTCTATAAATGGACTGCCGATACCATAGTGCGCCCGACTGGAATGTGGGCTAAGCAACCATATCCTATTGAAAGTGGGGTGGGGCAGAGGCGATAACTGGAACTCTCACCTTCTGATGTCCATAATATGGGAAAAGCTCCCTTATTCACACGCCGACTATGAATTCTAATTGTGTTGACATTGCCTTGGTTGAGATCAGGGTGGTGTTGGTTTCACTGATAACAGCACGCTGCTATCACACGTGTCAAATGGGGTTTCCATGGAGATATAAACAAACTCTTATCTCCAAGTTCCAACACTACCCCAAAATGTAACGTCAGCTCCTGGCAGGGTGCCAAGAGCGGATGGCGGCGTGGGCGTGCTGCTCTCGGCCGTGAAACACCGCCTAGTTGAGATGATTCCATGGCGTTTTTTTTTCGTCTAGCAGATTTTCGTCCGCAGATTTTCGTCCGACTTTTCTTCGTCTGGCATTTTTTCGTCTGTACATTTTTTCGTCTGTAAACTTTTTCGTCCAGACTTTTTTCGTTCGTATATTTTGAACTTATATGTTATGTTAACATCGCGGGTGCACACTCTGATAACATGTGATAACACTGCCAAGAACAGTCCATTTCATGTAACTATAGTCTGAGTCCAAGTAGACGCACGACTCGCAAAGTCTCAAGGTCTTAATGAGCTTATCTCTTTTGCCCATTGTGTAAGTTGCCTCGCTCCTTGTTAGAGGAGACTTACTTATGTGCCAAGAGTCGGTCTGTTTTTTAACCCTCGCCCGTATTGGTGTTTTTCCAGCCACGAACGTATAAGGGGGGGGGGATTCCGTTGGACCCCCTCCCCTTGCCGTTTCGCCCCTGATCGAGCTAGAGCTTCGCGGAAAAAACGAGCGTGCTGCCCGCGACGAGAGGAAGCCGATGATACCCAATTTTAAGGTCCTAGGTTATCGGTTGACCTTCCAGGTCAGGTCAATGACCCAAAAGTCGGGAAAATCGGGACCTGTTAGAACGTCGTAAAACGTGGCTGCTATGGGGTTTTTCGGGGTGCTGATCACGAATATCATGTTAGTTATGATCACTGATGATGTCTTTATGCATTGAGGCCAGGTCGGGTCAGGTCCGGTCAACCAGTAAGGATTTTGCCGGGTATTCGTAGTAGCCTCTGACAGCTTCGTAACATGTTACGAAGGCACCAAAACTGCTTCGTAAATGTTCAAATGGTTGCTAAATTCGAATTCAGCTTCAAAAACTAGCCTAGAAACATGTAAAACTCGAAAAAGTGAACCGAGGTCATCAAAGGTCAATGACCTGACCTGACCTTCCGGTGACCTTGACACCCACCCTAATGCATGGGAGCAACATCATATCCCATGTTTGAACGCTTGAAACCACAAAAAGACTGCTAACGCGCGGCTAATGCGAGCCGACATACGCCGAATCGCGATTCCGGCCAAACATGGTCTCAAAAAGTAGGTCACAGGTCAAAGGTCATTAGGGTCAGGGTCATGAAATTTTCAGGATAGGTGTAAAATTGATTATCGCGAGGGTACTGAAAGTTTCGTCGCGATCGGCCGCTTTTTACGCGAGTTATTCGCGAAAAACAGAGGGGGGTCCGTTCGACCCCCCCCCCTATACGGGCGAGGGTTAAGCATGTCCGATTTAAAAAGAACGACTGAACGATCTAAGCGTGAATTTAACTGAGCGGAAACTGAGCTGAGCTGAATTGAGCGGAAACTGAGCTGAGCTGAACGGGAACTGAGTTGAGCTGAGCTGAGCTGAGCTGAGCGGAAACTGAGCTGAGCTGAGCTGAGCGGAAACTGAGCTGAGCTGAGCGGAAACTGAGCTGAGCTGAGCGGAAACTGAGTTGAGCTGAGCTGAGCGGAAACTGAGCTGAGCTGAGCTGAGCGGAAACTGAGCTGAGCTGAGCTGAGCGGAAACTGAGCTGAGCTGAGCTGAGCGTGAGCGGAGCACAGCCGGTTTGAGCGGAGCGTGAGCTGAGCTGAGCCGTGTTAAACTGAGCGGGAGCTGAGCGGGAGCGGATAAAACGGAGTTGAGCTGAGCGAGCTCACTTTTTTCTTGAGCTGTCACAAGTCTGTACATAGGGCTGTACATACAGGGGAAGCCGGGGTAACCCCGGGCGCGGGGGAAGCCCGGCCACCCCGTTTCCGGCTAAATTATTCATAATAAAATGCTTTGTCCCTTCAGCGTAGCAGCTGAGGTAACGTCAGCGTAAAAGTTAACGCTAACAAAAATTGTATATTGTTAAAGATATAGAGTAAAAATGATATTTAAAGGGTTTCTAGCTAAAAACTGAGATATGTTGCACTGTTAACCCTCGCATGTGTAGGGGGGTCGGATGGACCCCCATGTTTTTTCGCGAATAACTCGCGTAAAAAGCGGCCGATCGCAACGAAACTTTCAGTACCCTCGCATTGATCAATTTTACACCTACCCTGAAAATTTCATGACCCTGACCCAAATGACCTTTGACCTGTGACCTCTTTTCCGAGACCATGCTTGGCCGGAATCGCGATTTGGCGTATGTCGGCTCGCATTAGCCGCGCGTTTGCAAGCTTTTCGTGGTTTCAAACGTTCAAACATGTGATTTGATGTTGCTCCCATGCATTAGGGTGGTTGTCAAGGTCACCTGAAGGTCAGGTCAGGTCATTGACCTTTGATGACCTCGGGTGACCTCGGTTCACTTTTTCGAGTTTTACATGCTTCTAGGCTAGTTTTTGGAGCTGAATTCGAATTTAGCAACCATTTGAACATTTACGAAGTAGTTTTGGTGCCTTCGTAACATGTTACGAAGCTGTCAGAGGCGGTTGACACGTACTACGAATACCCGTCACGACGCCTACTGGTTGACCTGACCTGACCTGACCCGACCTGGTCTAAATGCTTAAAGACATTATCTGTGATCAAAACTAACACGATATTCGTGATCAGCACCCCGAAAAATCTCTTAGCAGCCACACTTTACGACTTTCCAATAGGTCCCGCTCCCGATTTTCCCGACATTGGGTCATTGACCTGACCTGGAAGGTCAACCAATGACCTAGGACCTTAAAATTGGGTATCATCGGCTTCCTCTCGTCACGAGCAACACGCTCGTTTTTTCCGCAAAGCTCTAGCTCGATCAGGGGTCAAACGGCAAGGGGGGGGGGGTCCAACCGACCCCCCCCCTACACATTAGAAGCTGGCAAACGCCGCACACATGCGAGGGTTAATGTTATACCATACAGCCCTTAGACCCTAATATTTATACGAATGTTATGAAAGGATCATTTAAGTGTTTGTAGTGAGGGGTGACGAGGCAAGCTGGCTTAAGTATGACATTTTTTTCCAAACATCGCTGTTCTAAAATAAAATTAGCACATTGGGGTAACCCCGGGCGAGTGGGCGAGCTTACCCCCCACCGAGAGCAATGCCACTAAACCACTGTTTTCCATGAGATGATATGTACTGAGTAGGTTTGGGTTTGGTTGCCCAAAGATAAACTTCGAAAATAAACATGTTATCATAGACAAAGGCTCTTCGGCCTGTCGCTCTATTCCAGTGCCTATAGGTACCTACCTATCAGGTATGGATGAAGGGCGATTGCTTGCCTGGTTTTTACTGTAAAATATGGGAGATATCCGCTCCATTTTAACGTTTTTTTAGTTACCCTTCATCAGTTTATATCAATAGTGATTAAGTTTATGTTTGTATGCTACAAGAACAGTCATGTCACTTGAGGTCAACTACGGTCAAACTACGTTTTTGCAGATAACGCGACAGACAATGATACTAGAGTTTCAAAAATAGTGTCGTTGTGTTCTTCTTCATCAGCCGAGTCGTATGATATGCAATATGATGCATTTAGGTAAATAAAAAATGGTTTAAAGGAGTTTTGAAATACACATTTTTTTGTCAATTTTGCATCACGATTTTCATCGACCTGTGCTCTATATGTGATAGAGGCTAGCTAAAATACCAGTCGTGACATAAACTCTAAGATGTCTAGAGCTTAACAGTACCTTAATATTTCACTTTCCTTCAATATTTGGAGGACACATAATGGTTTCATCAACTCGTTGTAAAGCGTTGGAAAGGTGGCCGGCGTTACCCCTATGCCGGGCTTACCCCAGAAAAATTAATACTTTTTTAAAACTCGAATTTCGCAGCTTTATACTATTTCTACAAAATCAAGTTTTGGGAAACACGGCCAGTTAACTTATCAAGCTAACAGGGTACCTATCAACATTTTATACATCACGCAAGGTATGTCATAAAAATCAAAAAGAGCTTATTATGCCGGGCTTCCCCCGGCTTCCCTTACTGTAGGGTAAGGTGCCTAATTAGCGACCCTTTTCTATTTGCGACCTACCTCCCTACAGAAAAGCTGGGAAGATAAATCGGGGTAAAAACGATGTCAAAAGGTCTGCCATACTTTGGTTATCAAACTAAATTCTTTTCCGGTTGTCGGTGCTTCTGGTGGAACGTTTTAGGGGAGTTGCGATAAAAATGGCCAGTTTCTTATCCAAAACGTGTGCATTTGGACCCTACATATCTGATGAAAAGCGATGCACATTAAGATAATGCACCTTTTATATTCTAAATTGACAATCCTTTTCCAATTGATTGCCATTTTCCCGTAGTGAATCACGTTCCTGTGCACTGCATGGTAGTCAAAAATGTGTCGCAACCCATATTTCCTATTTGCGCCCAACACGGTCGCAAATAGCTCAAGAAGGGAAAGAAAGGAAACAGACAGAGATTAAAATGAGGTGTTGCTGAAGTTTGCGATTTGTGGCGGGTGATACCAACTGTCGTCACCGACTGTAGGGGTGCCGATGCCGAATCCAGGGCGGGCCTCGAATATCATGCGAGATAGCCCGCAATATATGGGCTTTCGCCTTATTTTTGCCTTTGGTGCATCACGTGCAATCAGTTTTCACCTTCATAAAGGTGTTGGACAAACGCTCCTGTTCCAATGATTGAGTGCTTTGCGTATAAGTTGCCTGTTTGGAACCATATTGCAAATTT